AACGAGTTGTTGGATTTTGCCGATCCACTGCCTTTAAATCAATTTGCAGTTGTAGCTACCTTAGTTGCCGCAATAATTGAAGAGTTCGGGATAAACTCACATTTTTGCAGAAGTTTCTATCCATAAAGGTTCAAAAGAGTTCCATATATTGTAGCTCGAGTTATCTCAGGATTATGTTTCACATTTGTTGTAGAGCGAGCGAATATCAATAAGCATGCTTATTAACAAGAAACAGTTGTCTACTACAAAATGTTTTGTGAGCGCATTATTGAGACTTTCGATTAACAGAGTTTGCTTACTATGAAAACTTTTAGCTCCTAATCTCATTAAGTTGATTAACTATTAAGTTCAAACTTACAAACACAAACTTAGTCTTTCCGCGTTTTCAGAATGTTCCAAATTGAAGCTCTTCCGACGTTCTCAATCTTCAATTATAGTTTGCATACCACATTCACTATATCAAATACACAGATTTGCTGTCATAATATTACGTGGCGGAAAGAAATATGAAACAAATACTTTGTTTTCCGTTGGTCGGGTCAATGATATCCTAGAATTTTTACAATTGTCGAGTTAAACACGATCCTACAGAGAAATTTTACTATTACCTGGTTACAACAAATGTTAGACTCCAACGAATTTCGATCTCTTTCTGTTGCCTGCAAAACATTCCATTGTGTCTACAAAAGCTAGAAATTCCTCTTATGTACTAGAAGAGAAAAGTCAATGAGTTTCTTCGAAAACTCACGCTTAAAGTTCTTTCATAGATGCTCTCTGCCGATAAGAAAACATAGACATTACCATTTTGCAAAGATTTTCTTACATCATGCTTTACAGAGCCATTCCTATTATTAGGTTGGCTAAAAATTAATTTTGTTTTGGTATGAAAATCTATAAAAACTTTCCTAGAAGCTCTCTACTTATGATATTTTATGCGTAAGTCAACTATTCAGAATTTTAGCTTGTCAGTAAGGGACAGTTATGCCACTGCAAGGCTGAAACTCCAAAAGCTCAATTCTGCGACTTCAGAAGCTTCGTTTTCACGCCCTAATGGATATAGAGAACAGCAATTTGGTATTTGGATACAGACAAGTTTTCCCTAATAAACGACCACCAATTAGAATTGTGATCAGCCGTTCCAAAGTTCTTTGAACAAATTATCCTATTTTCTCATATTTGTGAACAGTAAAAAAATTGAGCTTCCCACTTCCTTGCGGAATTGTTTCAAAGCAAAATAAATTCAACTCTAATAGATTCTATGTTCCAATTTTCATTGAAGTGCTTTTTTTCAACGGTGCCGGATACTGGACAAATAATTGTCTGCAGCATCTATAGGTGCCGCAAAAGACCAACCGAAATTATTCAATTGCCAACCTAACAGACGTTCTTCTTTTGCAGTTATCGGATAGCAGGTTATGCATTTTGTTGCCTATTTCACACAGCGATATCAAAAGCACACTTTATTTATAGTTACAAAAGAAGGTAACAACGTAAGACATAGTAAAAAAAACCTTATTTACACATGCAAAAACAAAAAGTTACAGGTAAAATGCAGTTTGTAAAGCAGTCTCTGTCATCGCTCTCCCTCTTTTCGCGCAATTTCCACGCCTAAGCTTCGGGCGAGTGCGCGTATGGCTTGAGCATTCAAAATTGTCTTATCCATAGGTCCACACAAAATCCTCGCTTTGTGCGTAATTCTTGAGCGAAAGAGATTACGCATATTCGAGTGGATTTGTAGGTAAATATGTACACTTGCAGTATTGAAATCTTGCGGTAAACTTCGCGCGCGAACAAATGTCTACACCTGCAGGGCCGACAATTTGAGAGCGTAAAATGCCGACATTGCAGGCATTGATATTCATCCTTGCAGGGAATTTGTCGCATAATCTTGACACCGGAAGAGCGCTATACTAATCGATAAATCTACTCGACGGTAAATGATCCAGATTGAAGTTACTGCTATGTCCCAAACTCATTCCACGTGAATTTAGAATGAGTTAGATGTAAAGGATATTGCATGACGAAGGCGCATGTATCAGTTGAGCTAGCGCGAACGCGGCGCGCGCGTATCTTCACTATTAAAAACCAGCGTCTGCGGCTAATAAAGCCGCGTTTGCGCCCAAAGGTATTGCGCGTTCGTCATGCGATAGCCTTTACGAACATTTTTTGAGGTTCATCGTGGAAAAAGGGTCGTGAGCATTTACAAGGAAGTGGTGTCGGTCAAAGTGGCGTTTCCTTTTCCATATGAATTACTAGTTGACTTACCCGGCTCCGACCGGCCCTGTCATTATTATAATCGTAATTAGCATGCTCGATTACCCCCCTGTGCCAACTCCCAGCCCCGTAGCTCAAATTTTGCAAAAAATCGATAAACTCGATATCTATCGATGACGAAAAGTAGCGTATGACACCCGCCGGGGCCCGAAGAGTATGTGTGCCAAGTTTGGTCCGGATCGGTTCAGAAATGGAATTTTCTATTCGAAACATACGTACAGACATACAGACAGACATACAAACAGACATAAAGACAGACAAACAGACATTCCGCTTTATATATAAGATATGCCATCTTAGGGTTGAGCCAGAGTGCGCGGCGTACGGGCGTACGTGACGTACGCAGCGTACGCTCGGTATATTTTATCATAGGAGAGTACGCGGCGTACGCTGCGTACGCCGCGTACGCCGCGCAGTCTGGCCCAACCCTTATAGAGCATGGAACGTTGATTTCAAAATTGCTCTCAATATCTGCAAAACGATTCTGGGAGGAAAGTTATGGGAAGCAAAAGCAGTTTTTAAAGCAAAACTTGAACGCGCGTTTACAATGAAGTCATCCAGAACGTGGTCCGTGAGTTCCGCTTCCAAGAGCCGGGAAGTCAACACCTGTTTTTACATTAACCAAACCCTTGAATTATTCTCAAAAAATTCCCATATATCTGTTTACAGAAGCGCTCTGCAGTTACCGAAAGCAGCTTTGGAATCTGCATTTCTACAATACAGGATACATCTCATATAGAAACTACATTTCAACCGAGTACTCTTCCCTTGTTAGTTGTTTTATCTTTTTTGAATCGTGACTCAGTGGGTTCAGAAATGGCTTATCATTACTTATAAAGTGGTGAACGGGGTCCAGTAAAAGATGTCGAGAATTGGGAAGGTGAACATCTGCATGGATGCTGTTTTCAAAAGCAACAGTCACGCATTGACAGAAAGCTCAGGAAGAAATTTGTAAAAGTGTTCGAAAAGTTTTGACGACATGAAAACTTTTGTGAAAACTTCACTCAGGCAGTTTTGCCTTGATTTTCTTTACCATTTCTGATATATCAACTAAAGGTCCCATTAGATGGGCGGAGAAATCGTTCAAAAAGGTTACGTATTCCCTTGTGAAGGCTAGACAGTAAGCCATGTACTGCGGGATATTCACCCACACCAATTTGACCTTTCTCTTTCTCTTTCCCTTCTTTCCTTTTTTCTTGATCCTTTGTTTGATTGCATGTCTGATCAGCCTCATTTCTATGTCGCATCCTACTGGAAATTGCTCCAAAGCTCCTCCCACACCCAAAGACGAATACTAAAATTATCAATTCATTGGTTTTCAAGCAGCAAGACGTATTGCTGGAAGTATATAAAATAGCTAATACTACAACCAACAGTAAGTCCAAAATTCTCATTTTTTCTTCGCTTACATTTGCGAGTGTCGTATTGAACATGAACGCTACCGCCTCAGCAAGGGCTTCTGGATTCCTACAAATTTGAGATAAATTGCCAACAAGAAACTGATTCTGTAATGTACGAACGGTTTCGGAGATACCGCAAAGGATACTAAACCAGTGAAGTTGAACTCCGCCATTGTTCTAGCTATCCTTGTGAGTGAGCAGTAATAAGTCTAGAAAATTATCTAATCTTAGTATATTTTTGGAGGGGACTCTATGTGAATGCAAGCTGTTTAACTATTACACACAAATGATGCACCTTACGATGTCATAATAATGAATTCTTCACTCAAGCTAGTGAAATAAAGTAAAACAAAACCAACCGCATTGATGTAATCTGGTGCTCCTTCTGGTGGTAAAACTCCAAACTCTGGTGGCTTCCTTTTCACTTTGACACGTCTCACAATCATTTTGTTGACATTGTCGACCAGAGGATTGCACTTTTTAAAAAAGAGTAAGCGGAGATCGGATGTTTCCAGTGGTCGCTGACACCAAGCTGCAGCAAATAAAATCTAAACACAGTTAAAGTTTTTTAGTTTTTCGTGGGAGTGATTCTCCGGGCAACGCTATAGAGTAGGAACTCACGCATGCTATAAAAGTAGACCTCATATTTTTTTTTCAAAAGCCAACAATCCACCAGCGATTTATATATGTGTGTTCACACCCTGCTGACAATTATTGCTATCACACATGGTCATGTTACGGTTATTTCACCTTCATGAAAAGTCTATAGTACAAGTACGCTTGTTCTATCAACGATGTTTGTCAAAACGTCATAGCTGTCTGCGACACCACAAAGTACTGCACCTGAAGCACTATTCATGTACAGCCTAAAGACTTGCCGCTCATCATGGTGTCTGGGCCGGTATGTATCAATCTCCCTCTCGGGAAGGGGTTCCCGTTTGGGTCGTTACCCGAGTGGGCATGGGCGCCCGCACCCGCGATGCATCATACGGGGATGTCACTCGGGCAAGAGCCTGAACTGCCTAGTTGGGGATCAGCAGCACGCGTGCTGACGCGTATGTACTATGCTTCCTGGCGCATTCTAAGAGTTACTCCTTTTACTCGTTTTCATTTTGGTATTGGTATCGTATGTTACTCGCAGTTAACTATCGTGCTTTTTCTCTTGTTTCCGTTATTCATACTTGCTTTTGCTTAGGTTCTTGTCAGCGAATTTGGTTTTTGAAGGCGGGTGTTTGTTTTTGTGCCGCAACCAATCGAAGAAGATGGAAGTCGTTGAGGTCAAAGTAGGTTTTTTGCCGTCTTTCCCAGCTCCTTGTAATATCAACGATGCTAGAGTCGGGCTCCAACCATGACCGAAGAGGAGTTGTCTATCATAAGTCAGTTTTACGTCGAGAACTATAATGTGTTTCATGTGGCGTTCGCAGGCTCAAGTCGCCAGCCTGCAGTGAAGGTAAGACACTTCAATCTGAGTTCCCTTCGTCCCTCCAAGTTTTTTGTTAAGGCGAAAAGAGACAAGTTAGAAGAATTAGCTCGAAACTGACGAGCGCTGGTTATCCAAAACGCACCGTCACGCAACTAGATCAACGAATGCGCGATACAATGAAAAGAGCCAATAAGGTGATTGCACAGGAGGTAAGTAATACACTCAGCAATGTTCCCACTTCGTACCAAAACCTTTTAGAAGCTCGAACACAATAAAACGGGAGGCGGAGTCCCCATCAAACTGAAAGTTGCTCCACAAAACCACGTTTGAAAGGGCTTCCATGCGCGATCGAAGTTTCTGGCGACCATGCTTTAACTGTAAGACAATTGGCATATTCATTCATATACTTACCGATGCCTCTTCAGCAACCTTCCTCGTCGAAACGACCTGCTCAGACGGATGACGAAATTAACCAGCCTGCCCCTCTATTGAACAAAGTTAACAGATCACCTATTTTATATTTACTTCATGCTATACTCAAACTTGTTTCTCAGCCTTCATCATCAAAGCCACCTCCTCAATGGGACAACGAGTCGCAATTAAGCTTGACTGACACGGAAAACGAAGTGTACCCCGCCAACAAGTAAGTGTTTCGAAGGACTTTCAATTTGCTTACTTTGTGTTCCAGAAACACGCTCGAGAAAACCGAGAGAAACGGAGGAAAAAAAGTAAAAACTGAGCCAATCTGCGAGCATCCAAATTTTGACGATTATGAACATTAGTAAGTTCTCAAGTTTGGTCAAAGTGCGCTATTTCTTAATGAACTTATTTTCGTTTAGCGAGCCAATGCCGGTAGAACTGCATAACGATGCTGAGAAAGAGAATAGACCACGGTAGGCAAGGTTTGCTGGATAAACTTTTAATCAGTCAGCTGTTTTAGTGAAAAAAAGAAATCAGAAAGAGCCAGCGATTTTGAATCGGAACGCATTCACTTGAGAATCAGGAACGAACAGCTGACCGGCGACCTCTTGTATCTACAAATTGAGAGCGCAAAGCTCCAAAATGAGAATTTGCGTCTTAAGAATGAGAAGCTGAAGCTGGAAATAAGCAACGAGCAGAAGGGAGGCGACTATCTGGATCAAGGTGTCATCATAAGCACTTAAGTAAGCAGCTGTATTGGAAGTATTCAAGTTGTATTGGAATTTTATGAGAATTGAATCCGTACTTGCACGAGTTTATTGAAAATAGTGAAGTCATTGAAGTTTTTCTATGTACGAGTATTTCGCATACCTCTGCAATTTATTGTGGGTAATAGCACTGAATAAAAACGAAGCTGTCATGTCAAGGTTATTATTTGATTACAAGGCGAAACAGCTTAAGTAAACACGGAGGTAGTAAATGATAAAGATAAAGACAATGATGAATGACAATTTCACATGAAGTAATCACTTATTATTCTTCGAATATGCGCTCTTTCCGTCAAAGACGTCGGTTCAGTGGAACTATCAGGATCGTCTCCAATCGTCTCTTCGGCCTCCACCTCGAATTCGTCTATGGACTCATTCCCGCCGATGGCAATATTTCGCAAAACGACGCATGCAACGATTATCTTAGTTGCAAGTTCCGGTTTGTATCTGCAAGAAAGAGTTTTCTTTTGTTGTGATTCAAAAATCTACCCGCACTCCTCGCCCAGAATCTTGAACTGCGCCTTGAGCACTCCTATGGCACGCTCGATGTGGGAACGAGCAGCGCAGACTGCGCGATTATAGCGATTTTCTGAAAAAAAAGTTCTCGGTTTTCAAATAGGGAAAGTAAACATCCTACCTGCCTGTGTGGTTGGGTTCTCCACCACTTTTATCAAGAAATTTTCGGCCATATATGCGGAGTCGCCCACCAAACATCCGGGTTTCCTACCGTTTTTCATATCCCGATACAGTTGTGATTCCTTGAATACACGGCTGTCGTGAGCGGACCCAGGAAACGATGCACACCCCGCCATTCTTGCCGAATCTCTCTGCTTCGTGTTCCGTCCCAGCAGGTTGAGGCAGATGGCAACTTGCTGAGGAATCGACAACGGCTTTGATCGCTCGGTTGAGCGCTGAAGCTTGTCCTTCACTAAGTCGCAGATTTCATAAAAGACCCGTTTGCTGAAACGGTAGTCCTTCTTGAAGGCGACGTCATCTGGGACCTCGAAGGGGAACGCTCTTTCAGCAAATACCCTGGCTTTTCTGCGCCCTTCCGCCACCACAGCTCCTTCTCCCTCTTCTTGCACGAGTTCCCCTTGTCTTTCTTCGGATTCCCTCATCCCTCCTGCGCCAGTCGCCTCCACTTCTTCCTCTTCCGAGCTAGTAGAATACAGCTCTTCCATGCTTTCCACTTCGCCAGAAGTAGACGAGCCCAGTTCTTCCATCTTACTAAATGCTAAATAACAACTGAATAATGAATGAAGGAGAAGAAACAAAGAAAGTCCCACTTTATTGCGCAACTTCGTCGACTAAATCCTCCAAAAATTGACACTGCTTCAAGAGTTCCAAGAGACGAGGGACGAAAATTACCAGGATAACAGGCAAGAGTAGAATTCAAAGTTCTAACAGAGCAAAGACGGGATAGCTTACGAAATCTTGACCTTTACTTACGAAAGATATGTGTAAGGTCAAGACTGAAGCACAAGTATATTTTAGCTAAATCAGTGTAAACATGTGTAATTTCAATGTGTTGATGAAGAATGATCCTCCTCTACAATGTGTGTGAGACACATTTCTAGAGAATGTGACATCACACAAAAGCAAAGGGGTATCAATCAAAAAATCAACAAACGAAATCATAAAACCTCATTTTGGTAAAAAAGCAGGCACAGCCTGCGGCCAAATGATGAATAAAGAGCAAAAACCAGACAGGATTTTGTCTGGTTTGCTTATCATGCATGAAGAAACGAAAGCAAAACCGAAAAAGTTAAAGAACTCACCAACAACGCATGAAGGGGCAGCACAGACTTTGTGTCGATATGCCCTTGCTCATTCCTGCATGCAAAAACTATGTTTGAAAAATTACAAACAGATACATCATCAATATGTTGAAGAATGATCCTCCTCTACAATGTGTGTGAGGCACATTTCTATGAGAATGTGACATCACACAAAAGCAAGGAGGTATCAACCAAAAAAATCAATAATAAACCAAAATCATAAAATCTCATGGCACAGCCTGCGGCCAAATGGTAAAAAAGAGCAAAAACCAGACAGGATTCTGTCTGGCTTGCTCATCATGCATGAAGAAACGAAAGCACTTGAAAATGAGGTAAAAACACCGAACTCTTCTGAAACTCATCTCAGCGAGTATTCTGGAGCTGGTGCCGTTGTATGTAACAAAACACCCATCCCATACAGCACCGCCACAGTCACACAGAATGCGCCTTCTACTATGCTTGCTTGTCAAAACGCGTCATGGAAAACTTTGTGGATGGGCGAATTGGTATAAAAATGGCGGAGCTGAACTAAAATTCGTGCGAGCCCATTTTCTTCTTTTGCGAGCAACATTAGGGGATCAAACCGAAACGCCTCATTTTTACAGCCTGGTCATAAACCGACAATGTGTGCAGCATGATTGTGAGTGGAATGACAATCAAACTATCTACGTTTGTTCCATATGTTATCATGAAATTTTCTGAAATCTTCTGCGCATAATTCAAATTCTGACTTTTCGCTCTTAACGTATATATAAATGCTCTGTCTATCTACGGTCTATCTATAGTATCTATACAACCTGTAAGTACAGAGATTTTAGCAAAGCGCTTTAAAAAATCTTTGACTTCTGCTTGATTTTCGTAAAATGCCAAGAACAGGAAAACTGGTTCTTGAAAGTTTTTTTGAGCTCTCAGCCAGTGTGGACCGAAGGGGTGGGGAGGCCTCGAGACTGGATAATGAAATTTGCAGTTTATTTACATGAGTTATAAAAATGTGCAAGTTGTTGTTGTTGACCTGTTTATTCTGTAAATAATTAAAACAATTTTTGAAATTTTTTTTTAAAGTCAACTCAGCTTTGTAAAATATTTCTTGTTGGCATGGCTGCTTTTTCTGGATTTTAGGGGTCATGGCCCGCAAAGATTTTGAGAAGCACCTCAAGAAAATTTTCGGAGTGCATGGCTAACGCCATGCACCTTCATTTGAAAAAATAATTTTCCGTCTCTTCCAAATCGAATCTACTAGTACGGAAATAATAACAATAGTTTTACTCTGACTGACGCACCTCTGTGTCTAATACAACATGATGTACCTCGCTATTATTGTCGCATTTCCACTTACCTATGTTCTCGCTGCCAATAGTAACTTGTTCGCGATCAAATGCTCACTTACCCTAGACTCGTTCTACTTAAAGCGGCTCTTGAAAACCAAGCATAAAAGCGGCTCTTGAAAACCAAGCATAATATTTGCTAAAAATTCAAATTATTAAGCATGGCAGATAACCTCCTTCTACCAACTTCCATCACTTAGCTCAAAGTTGGCAAAATTTGTTAAAGCCAATGAAGTCAATTAAATTTTTACGAACAGTTGCTGCATCGTAATCAGCTCGTAATCATCACGTGATCATATAAGGCACAACGTCTGTATGTTTGTACTAAGTTTTCGATCACAGTTGATATATATCTTAGCATTTTCAATTTTTGGACTTCAGCTCGTGCATTGCAAGTTGATACAGCGACTTTGTATACACTTTGCACCAATTCGGAATGCCTGAGTTCAAAGTCTGCAAAAAAATTGGAAGATATAGAACAATTTCAATCAAAAACGTGGTTTGGACATAAAGACGTTGTGCCTTATATATGAGGTCGTCCCGAAAGTATTTTCGCTTTTTTCAAACAATCGCCACGTTCTGCAGAACAAACATCCTTAGAAGATCTTGGAAGCTTTTGATGCACTTTTTTATGCTCTTTCAAATGGTTGTCTTTATATTGCGGTTTTAACAAACGAGCTCTCAGAAAATTACCAAAACCTGCGACCCACACTTTTTACCAATGTCAAGTTTCGCTATTTTTCTAAATTCTTGTACTGATTCTCCGAAGAAGCCCAAGTACCCTGCGGATAGAGCAAACCAAGAAGGATACAAAACAATTTCCGCCCCTTCCAAATCTTACTTTACAAAATTTTTAGAAATATTTTTTTGATGCTATCAAATTCTATATTTCGTCAACTTGAACCTCATAGAGCATCACTCGGGAAGCAACTCGGGTGTTAATCGATGCAGCACCTTCCCCTCTTTCAGAGACATGTTTTTTTGTTTCTGATTTGTAAACATTCAGAGGACAAGATCGACAAAATTCATTTTTTTTATGGTGCCCCATGATGTACCCGAAAAATTCAAAATCTGATATTTCGAACCTGGAAACGCTCATTCGTCTTGTAAAATTAGTAATGAATCTTAATCTATCTTCAAGAGTATCAAAAACTGAGAATTTCTTAGGGTTTGACGAGTCTGCGTCTGATATGGGTCTGCTAAAATTCGATAGCGTTGCTTAAAATTTTGTCAAAAATTTATGGAGAGCTCTGGGAAGGAGAAAAAAATTGTTTTGTATCCTACTTCGTTTGCTCTATCCGCAGGTTACTTGGGCTTCTTCGGAGAATCAGTACAAGAATTTAGAAAAATAACGAAACTTGACCTTGGTAAAAAGCGTGGGTCGCAGGTTTTGGTAATTTTCTGAGAGCTCGTTTGTTAAAACCGCAATATAAAGACAACCATTTGAAAGAGCATAAAAAAGTGCATTAAATGCTTCCAAGATCTTCTAAGGATGTTTGTTCTGCAGACCGTGGCGATTGTTTGAAAAATACGAAAATACTTTCGGGACGACCTAATATATAACTAGCCACCCTAATGCTAGCGTGTTTATTGAGTCAAATAAATTAATGCCCACATTGATTTTCTAGTATCTTGGAGCTGACTCTCTGCATTACACTTGAAATAGCTGTAAAAATGTGGCGGTTATTATTCGCCTATGGTCTAGGGCAGGGACGCGATTTGATCGTCGCGATTGATCGCGACGAGACAACTGTAACAATACCCGATCTTCTTGCATTTCGGTTGCGAGTAGTTAGTCACGATTGGTTGTGATGGAAAACATCACAACCGAGCAAGAAGATCGGCGTATAATGGATTCGTAACACTTGTCTTGTAGCGATGAATCGCGACGATGAAATCGCGTGAACTCTGCCCGCGGCCTATCGCAGATCACTGTTGCAATATGTCTTCGCCTCAGCCACCCACCATTGGCCTCAAGTTTCTTACTCCAAAAATGATCACAGATAACTTTTGTGATATAGAAGAACAGCTTCATCGGCAATTTTTCAAATAATTTATAGGATAGTTTACAGGCACGGCATCGTGTTAAGTTCATTGTCATAACCAGCACTCTATTTTGTGGGTTTTCTTCATAAGCAAAGTTAGTTTGAAAAAGTTTTTGCTAGAGTGCGGCTACCGTATCTCTTAGACGAAGGTTTTTAGTGGCATGCGATGCTCATAATCAGAATCAGCACCCTAATTTACTAGCTGACAACAGTTTCATTCTTGATCCTCTGGGGCAAGGTCAAGCTCTCAGTGGTGGAAAACCTTGAGTTCCTACCGTAATCCTAAGATAATCAAGTGAGATTGCCGATTTGTTCCACACCGTAAAGCAAGCTGAAGCCAGCTTTACAGAATGGTGCCTGTAAGGCCTAAGGCATACCTCACGCGATTTCAGTCGTTGCGCGATTTGTGCCGGAACGACTGTTTGTAGTGGGTCGTCATAGCGCTTTGTCAAGGCAGAACTTGATCGTTTGCAAAAGATTACAGAATCTACGCACCCATGTATTGGAGGGCCGCGCACGATGAATTTGGAAACATCTGGCAAACTGCCAGGTAGCGTAAACGTCGCGATTTAGCCGAATCGCGCGATGTATGCCTTAGGCCTAAGACGGTAAAAACATGGGAAGATAGATATTACTTAAATAGTGTGTACCTACTTCCAGAGCACTCTGTATATCTTGACTCCATAGTCATAGTTCACTGATGTTTTTACACCATTACAGTGTAACGGCCTTAACTTCGCTCTTGCACTACCTATCTACTGTTCGAACCCAAGCTTATAACGCAAGAATATGACCTATTTATGTTGATCCTGCATTAGATATGAGTTATAAATAGTCCATCTACGGGATCAAACTCCAAAAACAACATGTTTGATTGCAAAACTTAAAGGCCATGTCCAGGCAAGTTTGGGCTCCTGTGTTTTTAGCGTTGAAGGTGATGAAAGTTCAACAAGGAAAGTTTAGTCGAAGTGGTCTTTTTAGACGTAGTGGAATACCATATTGAAGGGCATAATATGCTGATTCCAAATCTGCCCTCCTTATCTGCAAAACATTTACGGACGAGGAGTTATGGGTGCTTATTAAACCCAAAATTGGATGCGCAAGACAAAAATAACCGTAATACTTTTTGTAGCTCTTCAATGGGACAGTGATAACCATCAGAGCACTTTATTCAAGAAATGCTCTGAAATAAGAAATATATTAGGTTGATTCATATTTAATGCACGTTTTCTATACTTCAATTTCAACCAAGATAATTCTTTTTTGAAAAGACATTTCTGGGCGCAATGAAATCACTATAAACACCAAATCAGTGGCTATAAATTAGATACTTTGGAGTGACCGTATCTATTACAAGAAAGATTTTCTGGTCTGAAGATTGCCAACAACTTTTTTCAGAAGCCTCTTCTTTGAGAGAGCATAACTTATGCTGAAATGAAGTAGGTTAAAGCAGACTTCACTCATCGTGTAGTCAAGGGTCTCTTGAGCAGTAACGCCAAGTTTGGATTTTACGGAAATTCTGAAAGAATATATCGCGAAAAAGTCGAAAGTACTCACTTTTTTCTGGCATCTCGGCGGGTTCAAAAATCGGTCATTTTTGAAATTATTTCATTTTTTTTCCGCTGGGAAATGAGAAAACCCTAGATACATTCGAAAAATAATATGTTAAATGCATAAGATTTCCTTTCAATTTCAAAAAAAAAAACGCGAAAAAAACCTGAAAAATAGCTATTTTTGGCGCAATAAAAAACCCAAAAAATCATGTTTTGCCCTATATTATCTGAAAATTAATAAATTCTGAGGTAAGCTGCATATGGATGGATAGAGCGTAGCTCTATCAGATGGTAACTAGAAAACATGCGTTCACCTGCAAAGATTCAAATAACGCGCATCTTTGTTCTCGAAACTGCTAATGGCCATATCTCCTAACTGTGAAAGTTGAGTCCACCAAGCCGTCGTGGGTTTGGTGACTGTCCCACCACCCACTCCAGCAGTGGTACTTTGGGTGGTCTCAAATGTTTCACTGCGCAGATACTGCTCAAACTTCATAATTTATCGAAGTGACTAACTTTGCATTTCAGCAAGTATAAAAGTTATGAATAATGTAAATGGCCCCATATAGGTATGGTCTGAAAGAGAATAACATATTCTAAAATTTATCAAAATTGGAAAGTCTAATCACTTGTCTTTCTTGAAAAAGAAAGAGAAGTGGTTCCAATTATGATAGATGTTAGAATAGTTATTTCGTAAGTGCCCCATTTTTTACCGTTCACCCTAATACGACCATGTATTTGTATCTTTTGTAGGTGCTCCAGTTCTCAAGAAATGCTGATGTTTAGGGTGAAAACAGTGAAGAATTATGAGACATCCTAATACTTTCTCGGCGTAGGGGAAACATAAACCAGCCGGACTTGGTCTGGAGGTTAGTGGGTGACCAGGAACCCCACCACAGCGCTATAATCCTGAGAGAGCGAATCTGTCGGCAACAGCCCCATGATTAAAGCCACGGTCTTTTGACGTTCTCCTTCAGAGCAAAGATGCGCTTGTACACTTAAAAATAATGTAGGTCATAAATATGAAATAATCAAGTGATTTTTTTCCAATGATATATGCTCCTGATATGGAATCAAAGTGACATTGCAAGTTATTCACTTTCCTTCCTTAGAAAAGTAACTAGAGCAGATTCGTTAGTACTCTAATACGCTACTAATTTTTGGAAAAGGAGGGACTGAATTTCTAAAACGAATAAGTAATTTCCAAGTTTCCCCTTTCTTGGCTTACTTACCTACTAACACACGGCTTAATAAGATTAAATTTTGTCTCTATGTTGAGATTTGACTTCTCAATAGACTTGCTTCAATCACAAGTTGTTTTGTGGGTGGTAGTTCACGAGCCTGTCGCAAGCAGTACTTTCTGCGCACTCTGTATGCTGCGCAAATGTGGATGGGATTGTTATAAGGAAGGACATAGACCTATGTAAATTTGCAATAATGTTTAAACATATGTAAGGCCAACTTATGACATCCATACCATTTGTTTGAGCTTTGCGGCTACCTCTGTAAATAAAAATCTTAATACCAGTGTATTTGATTCGAAATGCTGACTATAACTAGAAAAGACGGAAGGACCCCAAGATGGTCAAAATACTGCTAAATCAGGGTGTATTCAACATTGATATACAGCCTTGTGCGATAACACTCTTCAGTCACGCATTGACTTTCTGTGTAGCACTGAGAATCAGTGCGGAGCACACCGCAAAGGCAAAGCATCAAGTGCGCTGCTACCAACCACCTTGAAATAAAAAAGAAGAAATTTTTGCATTCTACAAGTCTTGCCGACATTGCTTAACCCTATACGAGTTTAAAATCCATAAAATGCCTGGAAAAACCCTTTTCTGAAGGCCCTGAGAAAGCAACGCGGAAAGATTATGCATTCTCACCTCAGCCTCCGCCATAGTGGTAGCAACTCCGTGGAGGTCGACGTCAGATGAAAGGACTTGTTCTGCGTAAGGTGGGAGGGGGAAGCGAAGAAGTCGGTCATGCGGACCGTATAGCTCGGTGCGGACTACTTTGGAGCATTTCTCTCATCGTAGAGGGGACTAAATCGAGTAGGACTTGTTTCAGTAGCGCAGCCTTAATTTCGGTGAGACAGTCTTCAAGTTCAACCTTGCCACAGATGTGCCTGTCATCTGGATAGCTCTGCTGATATTGCCTTATTCAAATTTCCTTCTTTTGATCCCATCCCAACCTAACTGCTTCCTGGTGCGTTGAATTTTTATAAATAATGTTAATCTCAAAAAATTTCGATCGTAAGTGACTCCCAAACAAGTGATGCTTGTTTGCAGATAAATCGTACACGTTTCTCTCGAAAACTCATAGCATGCTAAGCTTATGAATCTGCGTACGCTCACAACAAGTTGGCAAATTCGATTGTCTTCTTATTCTTGCTAGTTTAATTTCGAATTTTCGCTAGCTATAAAGTAACCAATGAAACTATTTCCTGTTATGACTTTACTCGGCACTAAACTGACGTATCTTGCTGTTAAAAAGCTTTTTTGAACATATTACATAAAGCAGAAATTTTACTCTATCAAGATAGCTGAGTAACAAAAGTTCCAATTACAAATCGATTAATACAAGATTCAGGAAATTTACACATACCCTGCACTAAAACTATTAGTCACATATAGGTCACTGAAAAAAGCTATGTTATATGTATCCAATTTCTTCAAAAATGAGTGGACATAGGAACTTATAGACTTTCATTCAAAAAGAAAAACATTACTGAAGCTTATTCAGCTTTGGATTCCGTGTAGCCCATAAGTTTCAAAAAAGGTTTCAACATATAAGGATCAATTTTAGGTTGGTCACTTCCGAACAGCACAAAGTTAAAGATATGATTGAGAAACTGTTGAGTTAAAAAGACACATGTAACCCTTCTACTTCTTCTCTCCCAATTGCAGCCAAATGGTAGCACCGCTAGCTCTTGAAATGTCACCGGTTGGAGCTGCAATTGTTTTTGTTGCAATAACTGGTTGCAATGAATAACGTATAGGTCATTTTCAAAATCGTGACGACGATTTCAACTGCGGTCTTTGCTCTCACAGGGGCATAAAACACCCCTACAGAAGAAAACAAAAAATTGCGTTGCCGGAAGTGTGTGCGTGTCGCGCGCGGTCGCGCCATCGTCACAATTTTTTGAATGCCCTATACAAATGAACCTGCTGAAGTGAGCATGGAAAGACGGACTTCAATAAATATCCGCATATCACAAAATTTACTTTACCTTATTAAGAGTTTCCTCATTATGCCTATAGAAGAGGCGAACTGCCGACTCCGTACTAAATAAATGAATGGGTAGGCTGACACCAATTGATATGTCTGAACTATACCTCTGGTAATGATCTTCGATGACATCCAATCCAGGCAAAAAACTCTGGTACTTGGACGCTAAGTTTGCTGCTTCTGAGAGAGCGCAAACATGAATCTGAAAAACTTCCAAATCAACTGTTAATTGAGCATTAAGCTATGCGATTTTGCTCTTTGTTCGTCTCAAAGCTGCAAAGACCACAATAATTGCTCAAAATTGAGCTACACGACTTTTTGCGTATACTAGATTAAGGGAGTAGATAATACTTATAACTAACCACTTCGATTCGCTGTGATCCTTGTACGTGATTGGACATGTTCAAGTCTCTCGCGTAAACTTGAATATACTTGCGAAGCTGCCTGTTTAGCATCTCATTCTTTAGCGACATACATGGATTTTTGATTAGGGGCTTGTCATAAGACTTGCCGATGAGTGAACCAGGAACATGCTTCCTTCTTCTTCTTCTTCCTTCAACACACAACGCTAGTGCAATGACCTGAAATTCATGTAAGATACCAAATGCAGGAAATTATGGAAAAGGTGGGGAACTTACAACGAGCAGCAGTGCATACCTCATCTTTGACTGCGGATCAGTTCAATAGACTTTTATAACTGAACTGGAGAGTAAGTGCATATAATCAAATAATGGTGCATATATAATCGAATGTTTGATTTGCGCACAGGTGTGCACAGCAGTATACTTTCCACCTGATCACCTAGTCAAAGCTTTTGGATGAAATTAGTAGTTTGCACTTTAAGCACTTCAGTGTTTGCAGATGCTAATTGAAAACATTATGGAACCTTTGCAATCCGTTATTATACCCAGGATTTTGTGTTCGCATCCCAAGAATGGTACAAAAATTGCTAATTAAGCTTTGCATAGTAAGAAAGCTTTTGCAGAAAAAGCTAATCAACACATTTTTTATTGACGTGAGAAAATTTCAACTTTTGAAGGTCAACGAATGTTTATTTGAAGCTACTTGAAGGTATGTGGACGATTTCACGTACTACATACGGTGGGTCATGGGTCATGACTTCGTTCGCAGAACTTTCTGACCAATAAGTTTATTGGAATCATTTGTAGCCTTGCATGTCATATTGCACAACACTTCCTAATTTAGAGAAAACACTAGACTCAAGACAAGAATGAGACACTATTTCATTTTGCAGCATCCTTCTCTTTGTTAGGAAAGTTTAGAAAAAATTGTTTCATCGAGATGGAAAAAGAGAGCAGTTAGTGTATTCTAGAGCAGGCTGCTTTTGCAATCTAGTTCTACTAATTCAAGCAATTTAATGAGTATGTGCGGACAAAGGAGTTCAGAATTCACCTAAAATGTCACAAATAAACAAACTGTACTACTTCTGTTCTGCATATTTAAACACAGCTGTTAAAGGGGGAAAATAGTTTAATCAAACATGGTTGCTTATTCTTTTGTTGTAGTACAAAAGTAATCATACACGTCTACTGTATTGTTATATGGTATTATTCCAAATTTTGATTTTTATAATTAGCATGTCAAGAGAAAGTATGGTCATAAAGCTCAAGGATGGCATCCACTCAGATTTTCAACTTTCATGTTTTTATCATTCTTAGGCCTTTCCGTGGTCCTACTTTCGAATAGAGGTGCAAATTGTATTGAAACCCCAGGAAATTTTTTTCTGGAACTTTATTCTGACAGTAGTGGACAAGTGGCCTGGTGCTAGTCGCGTTGCATGCTAATAAAATGTCGTCGTATGCAACAGGAACACAGCCGCACGGTATGCGCCGTGACTGTGTTAGGTGAGAGCGCAAATTGATTCTCGGATTTCAGGTTCATCCCCTCCTTTTGATGAGGCAACATTAGAGGCAGCGTCCAGGGAAGTTTGGGCACATGGGGATCTCACGTGGATAGTAATTTTGGGGCCTACTAAGCCACTGCCCAACCGGCAGCTCAGGTAGTGCTCTAATGGCTGAGATATTCCCTTGAAATTAGACCCAGGGATCGCGTTTCGCATGGATTAATGGCGTTGTGGGTCCTTGCGCGAGACTTCATGAATTAATGCGAATACGATCCTGGAGTCCGGTTTGGAGGCGTATATCTCAGCCGTTAGTGAGTCACTGCATTGCCGCTTGAGAGTGCCTTAATTAGGGCCCCAAAATTACTTTCCACATAAAACCGCCATAGGTCCAGATCTGAATGGACGCTGCCTTTAAGGGAACTCAACGCTGTTGATCTACTAGGTTGCCGGATAATTTCTGCTACACTTTCTTCCAATTTTTCTATGAAAATCCAAGGAACTTCCTGAAACCTAGATTTGCGGCACGCTCAGAACACAGCAGGGTCTACCTACAAGCACGATTGATACCGCAAGTGCACTAATGGCCAACAAATTTACGGCAGTTTTGTGAAAGTACTCAAATTTTCAATTTTTTTGTCTGATTTTTTTCTCCGCACCTACTTGTGCTTTTCCTCTTCTAGAATTTTTTCAAATTGTTTCTTGGCATTGTCTCTTACATGGATGCACTCTAGTGCATCTAGCATTTCAAAAGCAGGGAATTTAGATCAAAAAAGTTCAAAAACGCGTAGAATTAGATACGGAAAACTTAAAAATGATTTTTTGAAAATTTTTAAAGATGTTTCCTTTGTCAGTGTCGATGATTGCTAAGATGGCGTACACTGATTTGACGCTCTAAAAAATTGGTAGGCATGTCTGTGTTATCCCTCCATAATTGCTATATGCTACAGACTATGCCGTACCTATACATTGTCTGGTCTCTCGCTTATCACCTAAAAGATTGCTAGCTCATTTACAGAAATGGGAACAAAACGGATAGCCACGAAGTGGGTGTTTTGCGCAGGATCGCGGATGTGACGGTACCGATGGATAGTACTTTGATTTTTTCTATAGGCCGTAAACATAAGATCTTTCCAAAACTTCTTGTTTTAGGGAATCAAAAAGGAAGTGTAGTAGAGATTATCCGACAACGTAATACTTCTAGGCTCTGCTTACACAATGCATAGCAATCTACGTTACATAGATTCTGAGCGGACGCTACCTTTCTGGCGATACGTTCCAGACAAATGATTTCACATCGTCTAGCCATGTCAACTAAAAGAATGTTGCTAGGCGAGTAGTTGTTTCAAATCAAAAATGAATTTTAAGCAATCTTTGTGAAACGTGATTCGTCAATTTTTTCTTTTCCACGGTGATAATAACTTTTTGCAAAACTGCTTATAATCACAGTCAAAGATGTGTCTCCCTTAACACGTTGACGACGGTGTCGCGCAATGGTGCGCGACAGGCAGTCTGTCCCTGTGGACGATGTCGCGCAATGGTGCGCGACACCCTAAACATTAGTTTTAATGTGCACAATGGTTCCAATTTGTGTTCATATAATCAAGTTGGGCTCGAAAGTATTTCATGTTGGCCCCGCCCCCTTTTTGGCAAACTCCGCCCACTCCATTGCCCTCTACAAAAAACTTTCTTCGTTCTCAAATCGCATAGAAAAGCTCATAGATGACAGGGTAACCCCAAATAATCTTGATTATGACCCCGCCCCCCGTAATGCAGGCTCCACCCCCCTCGGTGGCAAGCTCCGCCCACTTTTCAAAAATGCCGGAATTTGCACGAATTCATTGATTTTGAGCAATTTTCAGCATTTTTGAGAAGTGGGCGGGGCTTGCCAAAAGTGGGCGGAGCTGCCCCGCCCACTTGGACTTGTGTACCTCACGCATAGATGCATGCATATATATGTGCAGCCGGCTGTGAAAAAGCCTGGAAACGGTTCGTCCACAGGGACAGACCTTCAAAAAATGGCTCGTCGTCAACGTGTTAAGAAACCCTATATCCTCGCATTTTGGATAGGAAGACTAGGCATGAAAGGAAGGAAAAGGCTTTCACAACTTTGCTTCCATTTGGCCCATTGCAGCTTCCCAAATTATATATGCGTCAAATTGTAAATCTAATCTTACTTCATCTAGTGTGCCTCATATTGATACTTTCACTAGAATTCCCACTAAAATGCAACGTAATTAGCACGTTCACGACGATACGACCCACCAGTGGGTCGTATGTTTCCTCAAGTTTCCGATTTTGCCAGTCGATGAAATTTTGGGCAAAGTGAATAAACTCCTGTACACATCTCTTGTGATACTTCCCAAAAGACCAACGCTTTAGACCATAGGGCCCATCAGTGGCCACAAAATATGCAAAATCATTGTTGCGAAATAGGCTTTGGTTCGAAATGGGAGTCATCGAAAAACCGGCCTTGCCGTGGATGTGTTAAATTCCAGAAGAACTAATGCAGATCCACTATAGTTAGTGCAAAAAATCACTCTACGTAATCTGTCTTTCACCATTTGATTTGAATATGCATGACTGCACCTATACTTTCAAAACATGGCTTGCAGGAGCTCGTCGCTACCGTAGTACTAAAGCCGCGTAAATCAGATTTTCAAACTGAAGTTTGATTATAGACTTGTACCGCTATCAAGAGCAAAGTTTACCACATTTGTACGCTACGCAGTCAGGTCTTGCGTCTAGGTCTTGCGCCTTCGTCCGGCAGTAACCAACATATTTTTATGAGAGTTGTATTTAGAAGGAAGTTCGCTTTGATTCTAAAATGAGTTTATATTTTAATGTACATCATGTAAACTTGCTGTAATTTTTTCCAAATTTAGAGTACAATGGAAATTGGCTGTTCCTGTTAAAAGTTGATGGGTCCCCTCTCACAATAATACTTCTACACTACAAAAATTAATGAATAAAATCATGTCACTTTTATAAGCTTTAGCTAACCAGAATTATCAATTAGAGTGAAAAACCAAGACAGGCAATATTTTGTGTTTTTGACTTATTCGATTTCCTTGTTCTTGGCTATCAAAAAACCACCACCAATTTCACGCCTTCTGATGAGATATGCATGGTTAAGCTGCAGGTTTTCAGATATTCCTTGGATGGAGATCTGATTGGGCATTCAGAAATATACTAGATTTCGCTTTCAAACTTCATGTAATAAAATTTTTGGAATTATTTAGATGCCATCTGTCTCACAACAAAACCAGTCAGAAAATTGATTTGAATTTAACAGATTGCCACAAGCATGCGGAAAAAACTGCAAGAAACAACACATGTAAAGAAAACGCATGTTAACGCATATGGTTAAGTCAAAAATCGCATTCCAATCCAGTATGCAAAGGTTGAAAATCAGCTTTTTTACTGCAATTTTACTTGAAAAGCGCTGTAATAAAAAAATACATGCCGGACAAATGAGCCTCTACCTCAGCGCATCAGACGAAAAGTCCGAGAAATATAGTAAATCTCTCGTCGAAAAGGAAGATAAGCAGCTTAGGTTTTTCAAGTAGATTCTAATAATATGGAACGAAAAAAATCAAGCTTGATCCCTCGCTCATTTCTGTGTTCATATGACGCGTAGAATAACACACGCAATATTGCGGCGAACTTTGTAAGTGTACATTGGCAGATTGTCCGAAAATGGAACTAACAGGAACAGGGCCTGGCACCAGGTGGCACGGGGCAAGCTGGATATCGTTTTTGGGGCAAAAAGCAAAGGGGGTTTCGTTTTTGCGGGCGAAGATATACGCAAAATTGGCGACGGCGACCTTATTTTTAGTCGACGTTTCGTTTTGGGGGTTTTTTAGGATTTTAGAGGGGATATTTGAGGATCAAAGGGGACTTCGTAAAAACTCTCAAAAGTCAAGGGGACTTCGTTTTGAAAATTTTCTGGTGCCAGCTCGTGCCGAGCCCTGATCAGGAACGAACATCATACAGACGGACATATATACACGAATACTTGAACTTTGGTAAGATAAATATTTCAGCGCTGATAACTTTTGGAAAGAAGCGGAAGTTCTGAAACAGGAAAAGGTTCTGGAAGGAAGCAAGAAAGAGCTATAGAGCATACAAAATTCCTCCAGGATCAATCGCAACCAAAATGTACAGGAGTGAAGACAGGAATAATCTTGTACCAGTGTTTGATGACTCGTTGCCATTTTCTACTTTGAACCTCTCCGAGATGGAACTCACTCATTATTTGATTTCGGATCTCTGCTCAACCAATTTTTCTAGATTGTCTTACAATTCTTTCTTACTACAATATCAAGCAAGTCAGTTCTTGTATTGACGACATTCACACAAACTAGCAGAAAATTGGCGGTAGAGAAGAACACAAAGCCAAATAAAATAAATAACGTATCCAAAAAAGTATTCTTTTTGCGTCGACATCTTTCGCCAACCTTTAGGCACCATTATGTAGAGCTCCCTTCAGATTTCATTTACAGTACGGTGCAAATTGCGTCAACCTCCTATACCGTAGGATTACGATAGTAACCCATGATGGCCTCGGCGCAAATGAACTGCAGATATAAGAAAAATCTCCGCAACACCTAAAGCTTTTGTGGTGGTTCTGAAACGCTTAATCCGGAAAATAATTGGTATCAATTTGTAAAGCATTTTAGATGGTCTAGTGGGTTTTCGCAAAATTCCTGTGTATATTGTCCAGGTAATGCAACTCTGAAACCAATCATTGATAAGATGCTGCTCACATTCAAAAGTAGCGCCCTACTTTCCTTATTGAGAATACTTTCAGCTTTGTTGATGTCTTTTACGGCAAAATTTGTTTCCAAGTGGCGCCAACCCCTTTCCTTCTTGCCGTAGCCCTAGAGTAACCATGAGATATCATTCCCGCACTACTCAACTTATTGTTAGTTGAAGCTAGCTCCAAAGATTGGTCCCAAAGGTCGGCCGATTTTACAATTTTTATTGTTTGAGAGGCAATTACACGAAAAGCAAAACTTGTTGCTAATCCGCTTGCTTCTCTACCTGGTATTCAAACCTCTTTTGAAAGTTTCCTAGCCAATTGTAACCAAAATCAGCATACTCTGTTCAGCACTTGATCTATTTCAAAACCTTTGGAAAAACACAGAAATTGGTTAAATCTAAGCCAGGTAAAAGCATAAACTTAGAATTAGCTATCACCAGCATTCAAAAGACATACATAGCTGTTCCAAAAGAAAACCGTCGCTGAGCAGATTTTATAATGTTTTACTCAAGCTAACGAGCGGTACGTCAATGGAGAGATAAATTATTAGTATTCCGTTAATTTCTTTTATGCGTGCTTAGCGGTGTAAGCATACTGATGTGTGGTAATGAGACGGATCTTTTTAGACCAATCGTTAAGAACTCATAGAAGGCATAACAGCTAATTTCGTCGGTTTACTTCATTTATTCGCAACACTTTTTGAAACAAAGATCCTGACTCAATTATGAATTGTAACAAAATCAGTAATTTTTCTTTATGGAATGTCATTTCGTAATGTTGTGCAGCAACGTTGCTTCAAATAACCTTTGATTCATCCGGCTTGGCGGCTAGAAGGCTGGGCTTCGTAACCTAGTTGAGGTTAGATAAGAGAGCACGCGCGCGATAGAGACGCAGACTGCGTCGCAGGCGCGAGCGGCCTTAGATGGCAGAGTCCCGCCTTTCAGCCGCTAAGCCAGTTGAATCACAGGTTATGTCAGGCCACCAATCCAGGAGAAATACATTACTGAGCATAAATCATGTGTATTTCTTCTTGCATGTGAAATAACCTAACTAGAATAGTTTTATAGCTTTTTACTAAAAGTTACAAGCTCGTTGATAAATTTTTCAACAATCATATGCGTCATAAGATAAGCAAAATCACGTACTCTCGAGTTCTAAAGTTTACAAATTTGGATCAAAAGTCACTAAAAAGGTTGCAACCCTTTCCAAAAGGATTTCCGATCAACGTATTCGTGCAGTGGGTGTTCTAACGTCTCTACCACATCTACAAGTTTCTGATAAAAATTCTCAGTCAAAAAAAGACAGTCGGTTCTCTCGAAGTACCAACGGCAACCGAAGGCCACTTGTTCAAATTGTCCATATTGATCCAGGGGTGGGAGCTGGAAATGATCTCATCGTAAATTATCAATGTGATATGCCGGAACATTATCATAGGCATTAGCAAAATAACTTTGCGCACTGTTTTCATTTTGAAAAAATACGTTTACCTTTTGGATGGTTTGTTCGTGTTTTTTTAAAAACTCATCAACGCGTTGACGATCTTGCTTATTTGAACTATAAAAATAAACGTCTAATTATGAAAAAAAAAAAACAGCAATTAGGCCGACTGGTTTGCGTACTTGAATTGGTGACTGATGACTGTAAAGTTGAAGACGTCTTCATATTCTTTTGCATCAGCTATTCTAGCGGCCCAACACCATACTTTCTGAAACAGATGACTCCACTCAACATATTCGCAATGCAGTTTACGAAAAATTTACTTAAATGAGTTTTTGGACAATTGATGTGAACTAATGCTACAAAACTTTAGCTTGACTCACCACTTTGACATTTGGATTGCCTTTTTTCAGGTCTTCTAGAAGATACTTTTCGAGCATAGCGTTCATCTCATCGTTGTACTTTGAAATACAGTATTTGACCGGTTTCACTGGCGTCGGTATCGGTGCTGGCTTCGGTTTCACTTTTGGTTTTCCTTTCTGTTTCTTCCCCCCCTTCCCTTTTCCTTTCCCCTTCTTTTTAGTTTTCGCCGCATCTGCGAATACTGCTAAAGCGAGGAGAACCTAAACTTGTTGAGTTGGAACAATGTTGAAAATTCATCAGTGGCAGAACTCACAGCAAGAATTACGGCGAGTCTCATTCCGATAAAAAGTAATTTCAGCACTTCATAGTGCTTTATATAGATAGATGGAGGACATATGATATTATTGAGATAGCTTTTCATCGGGTACAATATAAATTAACACAGCTGCATCAGCGCATACCATACCCACCACCGTAAAATTGCTTACTTCAATTGGAGGCACTTTCATCGGACATGAAATCTTGTTAATCAAAAGTAACCGCACACAAAAGGTACCTTTGAATCAATTGGCTTGTCGGCTGGAAGGCGGGGCTTCGTGACTCAATTAAGGTTGGGTAATGATCAGAGAGCAGGCGCGTGGGAAAGACGTAGACTGCGCCGCGGGCGCTAGCGGCCTTAAATAGGTCAAAAAGCCCGCTTTCCAGCCGTCAAGCCAGTTGAATCAAACGTTAAAATGCACGTTTTTATATGATATATTAGGTGACTCAGTCGAGTTCATAGAATTGTAAGTAGTGGCCCCCTAATGTTTCAAATAACATATCTCTCAAAGGACTCCTCCAACGGCGGCGTGCAGAAGCGATGCAGCTTGGAAACTAATAAGGGAAGGAACAGATCGCAGTGGCCAGCCGAAATGATATGTATACTATTGGATGCGTCTTGATGAGCTGACTTCAAATCTGACTTTTATCTCTGCTAAGCTGTTCTCTAAAAGCAGTAAGCGTTTGAATGTCCAAATTTGGCAAACATTCAATGCCATATCTTCAAATGTATACATTCCTTGTAGTCAATGCACTTGAAATCATGACAATTAGTCATTCTCAAACTGGTTCTCAAAGCACATCATGCATAAGAAACCCCATCAACTTCACACGTTTAACCGCCCATAGCTCTTCTTTTAGGGAAGCGCTTAGCAGATAAGAAAAGTAGATTTGGAATCAGCTGAGCAAGACGCATCTAGTAATATGCATATCATTTCTGTTCGCCGTTAAGACCTGGTATCCTTCCCTTGTAAGAAGTGTTCCTTTGGGGAAATACGATTATATAATTGCGTTAGCATTATTAGTGCAAGACATATGAGCCATAAAAATTTGCACTCTCTTTACGTTTCACATAAGAGCTTTAGATCGAAATGGCAGAATGTGTCTTTGAATTTTGTAAAAGAACTTCAACAAGGGAGGAAATGCCAGTATTGTTATTTTCAAGAATTGAATCACAAACAAGACTGCAATTTCGTGGCAGTATTTCTGAGTGAATAAGCTGTATGACCATATATTTGCAAGGAATGCAGCACCGCTACTGGCGAAGTTTGAAAATTTAGCTCATTATTTTTTTTGGTCTTTAGCCATCGAAAAAGTGCAGCAAGTGTAGGGAATTTTTTTTTGGCTTCCTCTATGCGAACCAAGTTGATGCGAGCTTTTGAGCGCCATCTTGTAAAGCTGCTTTGATCTGCAGAGTGGTACCCCGCAACTATTAGAAATATAAGAAGAACTGACTTATGGCTGTGAAAATTCAGAAATAAAAAAATCTATGCGACAGCCTAATAGTTCTCGGTACTCCAAAATGTTTGCCTGTGCAACGTTCCACTTTTCTTTTTTGGAAATGTCGCACATCAATAGTTAGGAGGCGGAAGGTGTTGGCTACCAGCTTGTAGCTTTCAGTGGTTGTTCGAATGTGAATTGAGAGAATGTGCATTGGCACTGCACTTTCTATTTTTCTTGTTTTATATCACAATTTTGATAACGGTGATATATGGAGAAGTGACTTTAGAAAGAGGACGGATGTTGAAATATCCGGATACGTGCGTAAACGAAACAAATCTGATAATTATGAAAAGACTAAAAAATGAGAGATTTAAGATGATATAAAGATATATGAACAATTTTTTACAGATACCGGAAGCGCGGATTTCATGTCAATGCGGATGATTCGCGAATTTTGATAAAAGTCTTTGTGGTCTACTTGATAATATTTGCTGTGGTTTGTGGTCTATTTGATGATAACTTTCGTATTTCGCTCGTGTAAGCAGAAAGGCTTTTTTCAGTTTTACATTTTCGTTCTGACCTCTAACAATTTTACACTTTTTTATAGTATCTTTGATTTATCATTCTCGATTCTTCATCGCTATTGTACTGCATAATTGTTCGAACTTCTTCCGTTAGATAAAGCTACTACCGGCGAGGCCAAATACATGTATCTTCATCATAACGGATGTACAGTCTGCCCCAATCGGGATCAGGCCGAACCGTCGGCTGAATTTGCGCGCTCGCAGCGCTAGATTGCGCTGCATACGCGCGCTGTCGCAGAGAGTGAAGAGATCGAGGAGAGAGCAGACTAGCTAGCCGCAGATGTGGCGCGAAACCCTCGCGGAGCGGACTCCCGCCATGCCGATTTTGGCCTGCTTAGGATTGGGGCAGACTGTATGTGACCTTTGACTTAACTGGCTTGGCGGCTGGAAGGCGGGGCTTTGTGACCTAATTGAGGTCACTCGCGTCCGCTATGCAGTCTGCATCTCTCTCAAGCGATCTCTCTCTCCCGATCATTATCTAGCCTCAACTAGATCACGAAGCCCCGCCTTCCAACCGTCCCAAGCCAGTTGATTCAAAGGGTATATGTTTGTTTGCCTCTTCGAATCGTGCACTGTAAAAAATATCAACAAATTTGAAGAACTTCCTAATATAGGCAATGACAACAAATTCCCCAATAGACGCTCACTCTACAAAAGTACACTGACAGGCTATGTAGTCAGTAACTCAGCAAATACGAAACATTAGAAAGATTTGCTTAACCTTAGGGTAATGGTGTTGAATGGTTGTCTATACGACCTAGGATTGCGAAAGATGTTATGAACCGTAACTTGGGAGCGAAAGTTAAATATACATCTTCATCATAGCATATATTTGTCTGCCTCTTTGAACAAATTCAACAAATTTGTGTAAATTTCCTTAACATAGCCAATGACAACAGATTCTCCAATAAGCGCTCGTTCTACAAAAAGTACAAAGGAAAAGGACAAGCTATGTAACCAGCAACAGATATTAGGTTGTTAACTAAGTTTTGCACCCAAATTCGTAACTTTCCGGTTTCTGATATTGGCGCGCTCGTTTTCTGATACTCTGAATGCCGTACGAGCTACAAACGGCACAAACTGCTTCCTTTGATGACGACATAGAAAAAAACCAAGCAATTTTTGAAAACTAGTAAATTCAGGGATTTATGAGGTTTTGAGTAAAGACAAACCCGTTCTCAACTCTAGACCATGCACAACGAAATTGTACATGTTGCTAAAACCTGATTTATTTAGCTCAATAAGGAAGATATAGAATTTGAAGACAACTCGAGATTTGGTGCCCTCACAAAGTTGAAGAAGCGTTGTACGCAAGGATGATTGGGAGGGCGTCAACGAGCAAAGAGTCGGAATCTCAGAATTCGCTGAAACTTTGATTGGTGGGGTTATGAACCTGCCAAACACGAATACCATTTTCTTACTTGAACTAACGCTTTTTTCTTGTTTAATTCATTGACGACGACGCCTAATTTTGCGTGGCGGCGCTATGGGACGACGCGATTTTGCACGACACTTTCGACGTGGGAGAGTGATTATTAACGAGATATAAAGTTGTTTTGTAATCAACTACAAACATCTTCTTCCACATCGTCCCCGGCGGCAAAAAGTGCGTGGGCCACCGGTGGTTAACATCGTCGTCAATGGGTTAAGGAGAGATCCCATACCGTTATCCTACAGTACTCTTGCAAAAAAGCCCTTAACATGCAATTTTAATATGGTGCTCACGATGAGCATGTCAGATAATCTCCTTACGCCAAGTTTTAGCCAAATCTGCAAGATTTTAAAAATTTTCCCCTTATACTATATACCTACTTTAACCATAACTGCGAAGTCAAAATTTGGCAAAACTGTAGCTGTGCTTGTAGCCTGCGTCATAGCCTACATGTTGCGGCTCGGTGGGCTCAGCGCTCCTTTGCTTCGCTCGACTGCCAGCCTGCCCCTCAACCTGCGCGTCCGTGCGCAATCCAAACCCAACAACGAATAACAAAGGTATCACACTTGCGATGAACGCAACATCACAGACAACCACAGCTAGATTAGATAAGTTTATCTACACTACAAAAAGGGGTTAACTGTAACAAGAAAAACATCAAACCACAAAACTACAAGAAAACACGAGACTAGCCCGCCTCACTCCGGGTAGCCGATAGTCACAACGCTCTCTCAAAGTTCAGGTGGCCCCAGAGTCGACCGCATAGCGCCTAGTCCTTCCGGAACGGTGCGACCTCTCCGCTACTCCCGCGATAATGCTTCCTTTCCTCATCGGACGAAATTATCGCGCGTATGCGCTTACATCCAGAAAAGATCTATTGCTCAACCGCTATCCACAACAAAATTTCTTCGCGGGAGCTCGCTAACCCGCTGCCAAGATCCCCACAAGAAACCGATAAGAAGAGTACATAAACCAAGAAAGGAATAAGGCACGTAACGCCTTTGGCGCAGCCTTATATACGCCTTTTCTTGGTAGCGAGCCAGTGGGGAGGGGTCCGAGCGCGAATACAAGAGGCGCGCACGGCTACAGCGGCGAAAACTGCGCTCTCGGCCGCTGTATGGAATAGTGGCTTCCATCGCGCGAGCAGCGACACTACATAATAATTAAATTTGAGTGCATCATGTTCAAAGGAGAAAAATAAAAGTAGTTGCAAAACTTGACTAACAACCTAATACTTATCAATACGAAATCTTGCTTAACCCTGGGGTTTATGGTATGGAATGGCTATGTAACACAACGAAGTGCTGCA